GCTGTCGATGGGATTTGAACACCCAACCTACCACTTGGGGGGTTGACAACCTGACCACTTCACTAGGTCGCCACACCTGATTACAAGTATTGATCTTGTTATAATAATATTAAATTAATTATAAAAATAGATACAAAAAACTTTAAAAAGTTTATCTTAAAAATAAAATAATTCTAAGATTGAGATGAAGATGATAACCTATACATAATTTAGTAATATATATTAATATATATATACAACTTGCAGGTTCAAAAGGTTTAAAATAAAATACTTAAGCAGGAATATTAGATATAATAATTAGTAAAAAACCTTTAGACAAACTTCTTAAATAGGTAATATAAAAAATTATGTGTAACCAATTGTACACACTTCCTGTAATGGTTCATAGAATCACATTACCAAAAAAGTTGTTAATAAAAGTCAAAAGACCAAAAAGATCACCTTAATACTAAAAAAAATTAAATATTCAATATAGATAAAAGCATGGCCTCATTAAAAAAATAATTATGTAACGATCTGCGTTACACTTGTATCGTGTTAGTGTAACGTTTCACCAAATCGAAATCCATCATTGGTTTACCTTCGTCGATCATCACGTGAGCGTAAATTACAAAGTTGAGAAGTTATTTTTCAAGTAAATCACGTGCACAAAAGCTAAGCCGATTTGTTTTAATTTCAAATTCCATCAATTAAGTTTGAATTGGACCCTTCAAATTGCAATATTGAATTTAATCTATTTTGAGTTTTCATTCGATTAAGCGCTTAAATCAAATGCAAGACCTCACTTAAAATCTTAATCAAATTTCAAACACCGTAGTCTCTGTTTAAATTTTCAAATATAATAAAATAGTAAAACGTTATATAAAAACTGATTTTTATTATATACTATTTATGGTTTTCTGTATCTATATAATCTTACTAATTTCAAACATAATGAACATGTAATTATAAGAAAAAGTATATTTTAAGATTAATCCAAATTCCAATATCTAAACAAGAAACAGGTTGAAATATAATATTAAATAATTGAAATTAAAAATTTAAACAATTTATGTTCATTTAATCTTACCTAACCCTGAAATCATCACTTGAATCGTTTAAAATAGAATGAATAAGCATTGTTAAGACAAGAATAATATATCAACATATTGAGAAATACCTGCAACTAATAAATCCAGGTTCAGTTGGAGAAGCAGCAATACATCGGATAGTACTTCCATGTCCTTAATTAGTATGATTTAGTTGTTTGCAAAAGATCCAATTTAATGAAATCAAATATACAAATATGTTGAAAAACTTACCTCCCCAACGCTTTAGCAATAAACCGGTGCGTGAGTCCCAGCATACGACAGTAGGGTTCACTTCATCACTACTGAGAACATAGTCCTCATTATAAGTGAAGGTTGTTTCCAATGTATTATTCTTAAAAATAATATATTTGACATTAAAAAATGATGTAAAACGTCAAAAAAGTATAAATAAACCGATAGTGTACTTTATGAGTTGCACCTTCGTACTGCAAGATACATCTTCCACTAATAGCCTCCCATAATCGTGCTACGGAATCCCTTCCACCAGAAAGGATAAATTTACCAGTTTTTGAGAACTTTACGCTTGATACTGAGGCTCCGTCATGCGCATTTTCGATTGTAGTAACACAACGACCAGTTACGGTATCCCATATTTTTATGCTACCATCAAGTGACGATGTAACAAATTGAGAGCCATTTGCAGAAAATCGAACCTATTGGATTTAAATATCATTAGGATTTAATAAGGTCTAATTAACTAATTATGCGGAATTTTACCTTTGTAATACCGCCTCTATGAAGATCACCTGGCGAAGTGGATGCTGTAAAACACTGGAAATTTTTGACATCATAAGCCCTTATAGACTCATGATCAGTTCCTTTAAAAATATGAAATTTAGTATAATTTGAAAACGTAAAGTTCAGTATTATAAACTTAAAAAAGAAATAAACCTGCTAGTATATAATCCCCGGATGGATGAAAGGCTATCGACCTAACAACATGTGTATCCTATTTGTATGTGAATATTATTGACACTGTAGAAATAATGAGTTCCTATTTAAGACTAAATCAATGCACCTGTAAATATCGAAAAGATCGTTTAACACCAGGTTTTGATAAATCAAAGAGCTTAATACTTTGATCATCAGAACAAGATGCAAGAACGAGGCCATTAGGATGGAATGACAAATCATTTACACCCTGAAAATACGGAAGAATTAATTTATCAAAAAAATAAAATAAAATAGAACACAATTACTTACTGCAAGATGGTCGTATAAAGTTCTTATAACTGGCCTATCTTCATCTGAACGACTATTCATTTTACTTGTATCAAGAACTTTAAGTGATGCATCTGCAGATCCGGTAGCGGCATATTTTCCTAATTGAGAGTTTATTTAATGTGTTTCTTATGATTATTCATACGTGATTAATAGAAATACCATCTCCACTAAATATTGCACATGTAGAAGCAGCCCGATGAGTTGTCATATACCAAGTTGAATAGTTTGGAGCTGGCTTAGGCACTACCATTTAAAGACGAGAAATTGTCAAATCCGTTATTAAGAACTTCTTTGGGACAGTACTTATGAAATTTAATATTAATACCATTTCTAGTCTCCGGATCAACATGTGTTAAATACTTTGAATGATAAACACCATCGTCTCCCTGACTACTGTCACCTGAATCAGGGTCTTCTTCAGGCATTTCGCATGGCCTCATCTCATCACCCTCATCTATTCATATAAGTATCGATAAGACTATATAGTATGATAAATGTATCAAAAAAACTAAATCGTCAAAGAACCTTGTTCTTTTGCAATATAAAGCAACTCTGATAATTTTGGACTTGGTCTTAAGTCCACTGGGATATCCGTTTGTTCAGCAACAATTTGAGCCAATTGTGTGTATCCATACTCACATAATTGACTAAATACACAATTCATGTGCGAAAAAAGGAAGAAGAATCATGCTATTCAATGAAATCTATTTTTTTTATTATATACATTTCTCAGATCGCTATACGATAAAATTGAACATATATCTCAATAAATTGTCAATCCACACTAGAAAGAACATTGAATCACTAGTTTTATTATTCAAGTTAATATGATAAAGCAACTTCGAAAATAATACTAAATCCCGAAGAAACTATTGAAAGTAGATTATAGATAAATTACTAACCTTACTATTAATGGGATAACTTCTTCAGGAGGCAAAGTTGGCGGATCCATATATAATTTTTTTTTGTTTTAGTCGACAAGGGCGCTTTATGCTTTTGGTTACGTATCACGAAAATCACGAGATTAGTTTTCCATAACTGTACTACCGCAGCAAAATTGCAAAAAAATATCTGCGCATATACAAAGATCCATAAATACTTTCTTTTTTTTTTTTTTTACACTCAAGCTATATAATAAATATTTTATGTCTATTCAAATATAACGTACATTTCATAGATCTAATATTATTAGTACATTATAATGTTTGCATACATGTTGAAATAAAATTTTTCATCTATGCATGAAAATGAATTTGTGATTTTTCGTGATCCAAAATTGAATTAGAATATCTAGTCGAGATTCATCCTATTTTATCAACTCTTTACCCTTCAACGTCACTACCAACAATGGTATCTGCCTCACTCTCATATGCCTCAGCATCTTTATAAACTTCTAAATTCTCTTCGTTTTCGTCTATCTCATCAGCATTTTTCTGGATTCTTTCATTTTCATCGCCAGTATTAACTTCTTTTGCATTAGTACCAGCATCTTCTTGAATACTTCCTCCCTTTTCATTCGCACCAGTTGTATTCTCAGCTATTGTCGGGGGTATCTCGACCGTATTCTCACTCGATGAATTTTGGCTCATCGGGTGTAACCAATCATGAAAGTAGTCAAGTTCTCTGCACATATCAATGGTACGAATTTTGAAGTAATCGGATTCTACAACATAATATGAAGGTGCAGAACTTGAACGAGCAAGATGGACCCTCTCTCCCATCGGATAACAACTAATAATGACTCTAGGGGAATCGTATTCATTATAAAGAGCTAAATTATCCATGCTTTGGAAAGTTTGATTCGTCGGTTTTTCGGAGACCCTAAAATAAATGAATCCACCATCAAGGCGTTCCAGATATACGCCAGAAGTATAAGATTTGCTCTGAGAAGTTGATTACAGATAAATGTATTAATACACAGCGACTCAATAATTGAATATGGTCGTGATCCAATAAAAATGCATATTCAATATCAGTATACCTCTAAATACCATTCCTGTACGAATGACCTTAGTATCTCCTCTTTCAATACTAGAAGAGCTAATTGATTCCATGTTCTACAGACCAGCCGCCACCGCATTAACAGCATATAGCTACTAGGTATTGATTGTTTATATCTAGAAAAGATTTGACTCATTAATATATAATTTATCAAAGCGAATAACACAATATTATTTTATTATTTGATTTTTTAAATTTTTCTTTTTTTGTTTTGGTTTCAAAATCTATTGACTATGTCAAATAATATAATTTTGAAAATTACGTACTTTCCCTTCTCAAGCACTTTTTTAAGGATTTCGAGAACTATTTCGTTAGGAATAAATAAGCCAAACATTACTTGCAAAGGAATAAAATTCATAACCAGATTCCCGAGCTCGCCACACAAGGGTTTCCTTAAAATAAAGAAATAATCTTATAACTACAAATGCGATGATAAAAACAAATCATTCGATCAAAATATCGAAATGAAAATTTGATACCGAAAATTGAAAATTTTTAAAGGACTCTGGTATAAACGGTTTTTGTTACGTAAATACCAGAGTTCTGTCATAAGATTATCATACATTCATACCATTTTAAAGACGGTATCGGTATTCGGTATTGTATCGTTACAGGCTTGCGTTTTCAAAATTTTCCAAGATTTGTAACACAAATTTCTTGTGGGTGATCGGTGATCCATTTATTCTATTATATTAACTAAAAGGCAGGTTGCCGAATAGGCAAGTTATTTGCTTCTTGACCCCAATTCGGAAAAGCTTATTTTCCAGTAATCTATAAATAGGTAACAAATAACCGTGTTTTAGGAATTTAAAATTTGAACAACAATTCGATCGCGTCGATATATAAAAACATGTACTGCTCAACGGAACATTTTCAATATTTTTTTGAAACTTTGGAATTTCAGCAAGACGAAAACGGTGTGCTATTGCTTGATCCTTCCGTACGTATTTATTGTAATGCAGACGTGGATGCAATATGTGCCGCTGAAATATTCAAGGTTTGCCGAATTTTTGTCTATGCCTATTTATCTATAACTGGCCTATTTTTCGTTGATAAGATATCCATATATATTCATTAATAGAAATTATTTTATCTGAAACATACAATATGGAGTATTAAGCCAGTTAGAAACACAGAAGATTTTGACATAAGAGATAGGCAACCAAGTCCTCTTGCAAAATCGGTAAATACATTGATTTATCTTGACGTTTCAGGAAAATATATGACCATATCCGTATACATTGTTAATTAATCTCTTATAATCATTACAAATTTGACTAACTATCTATTGATTTCGTGGCGTTCTTTCTGTCACTTGCGTCAAAGATAGTTACGAGCGATCATTTTGCTGAATTTTGGAGGAGACATTGATCTCAATAGATTTTTTGATTTATCAAATCACCCTAATTTGATTGTGTACGTTTTGGATAGTCAAAATCCAATTAATTTGAGGAATATGTATGAAAAGTGTCACAATGTGAGTTGGAAAGAGGACTTTATTTCAAGCGGCTACGCTTTTTAACCCGTGCGACACATCGAAACGCGAATACACTGTAAAAACAAGTTCTAATTAGGTGATTATTCTGGCTAGATTTTCATAGTATTAGATAATATAAATTCACCGGAAAACAAAGACATAATAGAAAAGGTAATATGTTATCAATCAGTGAAACGATTGCAATTTTGACTGTCGTGTCGATTTAATTTCCTTCTATTTAAGGCTAAAAGAAAAGAACTCGCAGAAAAAGATGACAAACATGAAACGGTGGGCGGATATTTGGTCATAACGGACGATTTCGGACGCCCAGTCAAAAAGCATTGGTCGGCAATTGAAAAGGTTTGATTTAAAGGGGTGATTTCGTTTGTGTATATTTCAGTTAATATTTACTGAATTTATATCTAATAATATAGCATATTCCTTTGGCAACCGGACCAGCTAGGCGATGTAATCACGGCTCGTCAATTGCATTACAGACATACACCCTTGCTTCGACCATATTATCAAAAGATAACGATATGCTATGGTATTGTGGCTTTACAATACAGTCAAATCTCTCTATAATCACACTCTTGGTTTTAAGAATTTGGTGCTTATAAAGAGATTGTACCTATATAGAGGCTAAATTTTATAAATTAGGTTTAATAATCTCTGATTATAAGCAAATGTGACTAGAGGTTGGAACTGGTTTTAATAATTCGGGTTTATCATGTGCATTTTGATTTTTTAGAAATTTATTCAATTAAATTTTAATAAATCCTAAAAAATCACAAAAACCATGTGATAGCCCGAATTATTAAACCTCTAAATGTGACTATAGAGAGGTCTGACTGCATTTAACTGTATTAAACTAAAAAATATTATCTGATTCCTATCTTTTTGAATATTTTTAAAAGGCTTGCAATAATAGGTCACACGAGTCTTTTCGTGTCTAAAAGAATAAATCTTGTAGAATACAATAAAGTGATCGGATTTTTGGACGCCGAAGTTATGGATTTGAATAATTCTGACAGCGTCCAACGTATTCACAGACACAAAGCCGTGCCCGCACATTCCGATGACAAGCGAATTATTCGCATCAATGAATATCCTTTATATATGTGCTCAAAATCCATATTTATTAAAACATTCAAAAATTTTTCTTAACACTGTTAATAATCACGTACCAATGCGTTTTGATTGGTCATTGGACATTGTATGATAGTATGCTTAATTCTGAGTATACTTTTAACAAAATGCGTCTCAAAGAAAATCAGGCAGCGAATTTGGACCGACTATTGCGAAATATTGGGTATGAAATTTAAGTAATAGTTGAACAGTTAACTCAGTGATCAATGATCACATGACAATCATATTATGACATTTTTGTTTACCATAATTAAATAGACTGACCCTAGCTCTAAACTTATCCTAATAGGCCGAGTGCCTATCATGTGATATTGTGATGATCACTGGGATCACTGTACTCATCTTTACAATGATTTGTATATAGAACGTTTACATTTATTCAATATTTTAAATTGATGATTATAGGATTACACATAGAATGGCAAAACAAAATTTTCCAAATATGGATGTTCAAGTAGCTAACTCGTTAGCCGAAATGATTAAAGAAGAGGGTCCAAAATTTGGTCTTGAATATCCGTTATACTCATCATATTGTAAATTCTACGGATATAAACAGCCATCACTATCCGCAAGCGATGCTGCTTACGGGTTGATTACGTTGTTATCAACGAAAAAATCTGCATCGATTGAATTTGGGGTTGAAGTTCGCTGGGTAAGTGATTTTGAGGACGATGACTCATGGTTGAATAATTTCTATACTGTGATGGAAGCATTAGACAGGTATTAAATTTCACTGAACTAAATTTTATTTCTAAAGTTTATAGATTAATATATTTTCATTTATTTTGTAGTTGTACTGGAACGACTTTGTTGCAGTCAGGGATTGATCTACGAAAAGTTCTTCAACCTTTATTTAGAGATGATCAATTAGGGAATGATCGATCATTTGATTTGTTTGATCGTGACCGATCATAAAAAATTCTTGGTCGGTCGATAAGTGGTCGATTATTAAATAGTCATGTCCAACACCATGCATCACTTGTACTATATTCGTTACAATAATAATATTCGTCTTTATTATTTTCTATGTTAATTCATAGTATTAATGTCATGCTTGAAATTAGTCTGAAATTAGCCCTTGAAATTAGATCTTGTAGTTTTACGAAATTTTTCGTAATAAAATTTATTATATATTTTCTTTGGTTATTTGTTTTATGTATTGTATATTATATTTTGTATAACTTTATTATACTTGTTGTATAATTTTTACGTATATTATATTTTTTTAATTTTAGCCAATTTTATTTAAAAAAATCCTATATATTTATTCTTTTAAACCAAAAATTAAATTAGTTAAATAAAATTTTTTGAAAATAAAAATTATTCCTTAAGAGTAGGGGGTACGTAGATCATTTTTTTCATGACATCAGTGTTGTTATGTCTGCTATGTTCAAGACTTTTTAGACCACATCTAATGTTTAACGTTTAATGTTTAACATTTACATGTTCGAGAGTGTTCATAGCATATACAAGCTTCAAAAATTAATATATTATTTAAAAAATATATGATTATATATTTTTTATAGTGCTGAATATTTTTATTTTTATTTTTTTAAATATTAACAGTGAAGTTATGTTTTTAACTTTATTGAAATTAAAGTAAATTTTTTACAAAGAAAAGTTTGTTTTTAAATTATATATAAAGAATAAAAACTCAGATATATAATCTATGACCCAAACCTAATTAAATTTTTTTTTTTTTGGTATTAAGGTGAGGCCTTGCTTATATTTTTATTAATAATTTAAAATAGATATGCTATGATTGAAGTCAACACTTGCAATTAAGATTAATCATTAAATTGCTAACTATACAATTACTACTATTTGTATAAAACAAATAAATTAAAAATTATATATAAAAATATAAACTCAGACTAATTTATCTATAACTTAAACCTACTAGAATGATCAAAGCTTACATAGATTTGAATATTTAGTATATAATTTGATAATATATAATATTTGATTCATAGAATAGATCAAATATTAATTTTATGAATTGCTTGATTAATAGAACAGTATATATTAGAATAAGTATATAATTAATCTGAAAATTCACAGAGACATAAGTATAATTTTTTTAGAAATGTGTATGCCTAGTAGTTAAGTTAAATAATGTTAAGAATTTTTAATTAGTTGAAATTAAGGTTTATTTTGTTGTTTTTTCTAATTAAAAAAATGAATACAATATGTTTTTTATAAGTGTTTATATGATTTTTTTTTTTTTTTTAACTCTTTGGCAGCCTTGTCAAAATCCTTTATTAAGAGAATTGCATATATGATTATACAAATATTAGTTTAATTTTTAGGTTTGATATCCCCTGGCTACTATATTAATATCTAGAGGCAACTTGCTACACTAGAGTGAGTTAATACTTACTACTAGAGGGCTATTCAGATTAGCCTTTGAGACCATTCCAGTAAGGCTTCTTGTTATTATTAATTAATTTTTTAACTGTATTCCTCTATATATCTTCTATGTTTTCACTTTCTGTTTCTTTTTCCTTTTTTATATCTTTTATTTTTTTTGAGTTTTCATCTCTTGATCTTGATAACACCTTGTACGATACTTTGTTTTGTTGTTCTACTGCTTTATTTTTGCTTCTTTTCTTTTTTGTACTGATTTCTTGGCTTTTTTTCTATTCAGATATTTTATTGCATCTTTTTTTCCAAATTTTTTCATAGAACTCATTCCATATAATATCTACTATATTCATTAGGAAATTTTTTGTTTCTTGTACTGAGATCATGATATTTTGTACTCTCTCTACTAATTCTTCTTGTAGAAGACCTTTAATGAGCTTTTTTCTTACTTCAGCACTTTCTTCTTCTGT